TACATCAGAATAAAGAGCTTCTGCACAGCAAAAGAAACCATCAACAAAACATTGAGAAAACCCACTGCGTGGAAAACATATTTGCCAACGTCATATCTGATAAGGGCTAATCTCCAAAATGTATAGGTAACACGTACAACTTAACAAAAGGAAGATAAACAATCCAATCAAAAAATGGGCAAAGGACCTAAATAGACACCTTGCAAAAGAGGACATTCAGAAAGCCAAGAGACATATGAAAACATGCTCAAAGTCACTAATCATCCGAGCGATGCAAATCAAAACAACAATGAGGTACCATCTCACACCTGTCAGACTGGCTATCATCAACAAATCAACAAACGACAAGTGCTGGAGAGGATGTGGAGAAAAAGGAACACTCGTGCACTGCTGGTGGGAATGCAGACTGGTGCAGCCACTATAGAAGGCAGTATGGAGTTTCCTCAAAAAACAAAAAATGGAACTCCCATTTGACCCTGTGATCCCACTTCTAGGAATATGTCCCAAGAAACCAGAAACACCAATCAGAAAGGATATATGTACCCATATGTTCATAGCAGCACAATTCTCCATAGCTAAGATCTGGAAACAGCCTAAGTGCCCATCAGTAGATGAATGGATTAGAAAACTATGGTACATCTACACAATGGAATACTATGCTGCTGTAAAAAAGAAGGAACTCTTACCATTTGCAACGGCATGGATGGAACTGGAGAGCACTATGCTAAGTGAAATAAGCCAGTCAATGAAGGAAAAATACCACATGATCTCACTCATTCATGGATAATAAAGACCATTATAAACTTATGAACAATAATAGATACAGAGGCAGAGTTGCCTCAAACAGATTGTCAAACTGCAGCGGGAAGGCCGGGGAGGGTTGGGGGGCAGGAGGGAGGCGGGTAAGAGATCAACCAAAGGACTTGTATACATGCATATAAGCATAACCAATGGACATAAGACACTGGGATGTAGGGGAGGCCAGGGGATTGTCAAGGGCGGGGGGAAAAAAAGGACACATAGGTAATACCCTTTGTAATACTTTAAGCAATAAAGAAAAAAAAATGGCTCTTACCTCATCTCTCCAAAGACTATGATTTGGAGGAGGAAAGAAGGAGCAATTACTTATAGACTTTGAACAATATTTCCAGGAAAAAATAAGCCAAATAAAAATTTTCCCTGAACCAGAAAAAAAAAAGATTAGAAATGTGTATTACAATCCCTAGAGCAACCAATGAAAAACTATAAAAAAGATATAGGTAAAATCACAATAGATAAATTGAAATGAAATGCCCTAAAACTGTTCAAATAACCCATGAGAAGGCAGGAAAGCAAAATCAGAGAATGAAAACAGGATGGTGTTTTGCAGGGGGGAGGAGTAGGGGTGGAAGAGGGTATAGGGGGTATAAATGGTGATGGGGGAAAAAAAGAAAACGATGACCCTGATAGGCTACAAAATCCTAAACAGCTTTTTGAAACAGGAGGAAATAAAGATTAAATGCAGCTTGTTATGGTTTGTGACAAGTGTTAAAAAAAAAAAGACAAGATAATGGGTCCTTCCCTAGAGTCTCCGGGAGGAGTGCAGCCCTGCCAACACCTTGAATTTAGGACCTCTGATCTCCCAAACTGTGAGATAATAAATGTGTGCTGTCTTAAGCCCCTGTCATTGGTGACTTGATAGGACAGTCGGAAGAAACTAACACAGCTGCCGAGAGATCTGAGAGGAGGGTTAACTAACCAGCAGTGGAGGTTAGGGGAGAGCCAGGAGGGCACCGGCAGAACAGTCAGCTTTAAAACTCCACCAAGTTTGGGGAGCACTGAAGCTGAAGCCAGTGGGAACTTTCCAGTCCCCTTTTCCTTCGCTAGTACCAGCCCTAGAAAGGTCCTCAAACCCAGGGTTGTGAGAGGGTGGAGGGAGAGTAGCCAGAGTAGATGGGAAAGGGGGAAGCCATCACTCCTTCCCACAGGCAGACCTCCAGGAGGTTCAAAGCTCTGACAATCTGTAGCAGTTACTGACCACATGGAGCATCTCCATTCCTGGGCTGAGGCCATCTGCACTGTCTGAGAGTGTCTTAGAAGGTCCCACGGGACAAACAGCATGGCTGTGTCCACCCAAAAGGTCAGTAGAGAGTGAAAATAGAGCAACAGCATGACTACATCTGCGAGTGGAGCCTGCTTCCCATACAGGGCACATCCTCTGC